GGGGATCTTTTCTGGACTGGGGTAAATGACAATCAGTTCAGTAGCAGTCAATAGTTCCTCTCTGCTTCAGATCCTTCTCCCCACCTTTTTCCAATCAGAGGTATGTAAATGTTAACAATATTGTCTGTCAGAAGTGGACTGTTAGAGTGAAGTGTTTTGTCAGCTATGTGACTAATCAGTTAGCCACTAAGGAAACTAGTTAATCAGTTAAGCTCATTGATGTAACAAGTTAACACTTTTACACAATATGTTTGTTTTTATCTATGAAGAACTGTGAGTAAACAGAAACCCTTTATTCTTGATCATGACCAGAGTGTCTGAGGGAATGATTAAGACAGCAAGTGCCAGCTGAAGTAAACTAACAAATAAGGGGTAGTCTACTGAGGGAGTCTTGAAGCCAATCTATTCTGTAGGTCCCTGCCTGAACCATTCTTTCCACGGCATAATTAGAGGATGTTTGTTTTAAGCCACACTCCATTCCTCACTACTTAGCCCAAGGCTACTTACTAAACATTTACATATGCAGAGAGAGAGAGAGAGAGAGAGAGAGAGAGAGAGAGAGCAATTACATACATGACCGTTGTAAGATTATTGCTTGGTACAGCCTGGGTCTTGTATTATTTAAAGCATGGTATCACTTTTTTCCCTTGGCAGTCCAGGAGGCTATCATTCCACTTGAGGTTCTGGGGAGGGAGGGATCTGGGGAAAGTGATCACCATCACCCTCTCTGGCCCCCAACAGGGATGGGGACCCCCAGCTCCACGGACTTCCAAAGTCCCTCTTTGAAGGAACCTGAGTCTCGCCATGATGGAAACCAAAAAAACCCTTGCTTTCCCACAAAAAGGACATTTCAGTGTTTACCAGTGTCAGTGATTTGCACATGCGTAAGTTAAAGTGGTGTCTCAGGGTTAAATTGCCAGAAGGATTCTGGCTTCTCCTTTTTTTTATTTGCAGAGAGCTGGTAGGAAAAGGGTCAAGAAGATTAGGAGAGAGACAGAAAGCCTAAAGTGACTATTATGGCTGATCCAGAAAACAAACCCTGCCTGTTACTGGGCCTGACTTGCCCCGATCGACTGACCTCCTCCTGGCTTTATCACTCCTCAAAGAGCCAAGCTTTCGGTTTGGAACCGAAGACAGCTGAGAAGAAAAGGCTAACGATCATCCAGGGTTGAATATGAGCAGCCAAGTTTCCAATCCAGGGGAAGGAAGGAAGGAAGGAAGGAAGGAAGGAAGGAAGGAAGGAAGGAAGGAAGGAAGGAAGAAAGAAAGAAAGAAAGACATGATGGATGTAAGGAAGGAAGGAAGGAAGAACTGATGATGGATACATGGAAGGAAGGACACGGCAAGTGACTTGGCTGACACAGAGATTCAAGAAAGTAGATAGGACTTCCCTATCCACAGGATCACTATCCACTGATTCACTTATCCGCTCCCTGAAAACACAAAATAAAGCCACCCAGAGCTACATTCTATGAGTTTCCAGGGTGTGTTTATCAGAGAGGGAACCAGAGACCACGCAAGGTACAATATTTGCGTTTTTCAGCATCTGCACCGGGGGGGGCACTTGGAACCGATTCTGCACGAATCCCGCGGATCTTACCGTAACCTTTCCAAGCTCTGGGAGGGAGGCGAGGAGAGATGGCCAGTCACCATCTAAAACAGGAAGAGTGGCCAAAAACCTGATGCCACTTTTTTCTCCCCAGTTAACAATGTTTCCGTGAGGAAGCATGCAGTTTTGAGGAGTAAACGTGCTACCTGTTGGGGCTGCCAGCAGCCCTGCGCTCACGGAAGGAGGCTGATGGATTGCAGAGAGGGCCTGCAGTCGCCTGCCTTCCCTTGCCTGTGTCTTTGCAGCTTCAGGGAGACAATTCCAAATTTCTGAGTTCTGTAGCATTGCAAGCTCCCGGGCCTTTGAGGAATTCATTAGACAATGCAGAGTATGTGTTTATTA